CTCTCTCTCTCTCTCTCTGAATGTGAATCAGTGAATCACTCCGGTGCAGACAGCCTTGAGCCTAACTGACACAGGATGGTAAAATCATTGTTCAGAAGAGATGTGACACGAGTGCACAATCATTTTGTGACACCCCCCACCAGGAACAAGCATTGGAGGTTCACTGCAGCATTGCTGCTTATTAATTGATTATTTACAAACCCTGATACTAAAAATATATATTTTTGAGTATAATTAAGACATGTAACAAGGTCCCACAACTAGACCCTACACCCAGGGTGAGTTGTATTACGGGAAGGTCAGCATCTTAAACCCATCACCAGAACAGCCCAACAGTCAATTAGTATGCAAAATACTTGCACTCAAACTATCAAGCAGGCGCATGATTTTTTGTTTAATGCGATCATCTGAATGCTGTAGACTGCATCAATCTATAACTTCAGTCTGCTGTTCACAGTAATCAAGCTCTGCTTTGTTTGTACTGAAAGGACATGATTAAGACTTTGTGTTAGATTCATAGATCATACACATTCTGTTATCTTCCTTCAGGCATAATTAGAGATTATGTGAATAAACATGGATATGAGAATACTGAGCAAACATATTGTCTGAAGCCATGCTGTTATCTGTTGTTCAATTTTTTTTTCCTCTACCGTAGGCTGATCTGATGAAAAACAATTGTTGAGAGTAAAAACTGTCATTCATGAATTGTAGCAGATTCAGGTTACAAAGAATGTTTTAAAGTGGATTCTAAGGGTTTGAAACCTACAAACCCCCTAAACTTCACAAACAAGATGATCAAATGTCATCATCTCTCTTTATTTATTTTATTATTTTTTTGGCCTNNTTTCCCAAGTGCTATTAAACAGAGGAAGGAATTTTTTTTTTTTAAGTATTATTTTTTGGCCTTTTTTATGCCTTTATTACAGGGGCAGCTGGAAAGAGACAGGAAAGGGGGGCAGAGAGAGAGGGGACGACATGCACACAAGGGCCACAGGTCAGACTCGAACCCGGGCCGCTGCGTATATGGGTCGCCAGCTCTACCGACTGAGCTAACCGGGCACCCCATCTCTTTTAATAATCTTTAGCTTTATCTGCTGCAGAGCATTGTTTGCCATCTGTCATCAGTTATTAGATCTACTGGTACAGGATGAAGACCAACTTTATCACAAATATAAGAGAAATCTTTTAGGGTTCATCACCTGATCATAGGCCTGAATAAAAACCAAGACCCTCAAGCTGAGATTGAAAATGTAACTCGTCAAACAAACCCACACTGCCAAAACCAAAAACCTTGCAGAAGAGCACAGGCCAATTTGTCTGGAAAAGCACAGACCACTTCTGCTCCAATCTCACTGTCTTCTCACTCTCTGTATTTAATATCCCTGAAGGCTGGCCCTGGCATTTGCTTACGTTCTGTTGTTGTACTCCCCGTGCTTAGCACTCGCCTCCTTCTCACTTACTCTGCTCAATTCAATTTGTGGCCTAAATGTCTTTCCCTAATATGTGTCATTGGAGCAGAGCAGCGGCGCTCCCTCTCTGGCTGCTTTGAGAAAAGCTCTTCTGTGTTTGTCTTGGTCCTCTTCGCTCCTCTGGGAGGACATCAGGGGCTCCAGTCGTGGTTGGCATGTTGTGTCCTCCAGCCCCGCTGTTGTTTGCTGATATTTAGTTCAGAATGACAATAAGCCGGAAGAAAACAAGCTCCTTTCAGGCCAATAAGAGAGAGAAGGGGTGGAGTGAGAGGGAGAGAGAGACCTAGGAAAAAAAGGGGGGGACAGGGGACTCATCCCTGGATGGGGATTCTCTTTAAGGCTTTCTGTTTGTGGCCCCTAGGGCCGAATTAAGTGAGCGTCATTATCCCTGGCAAATTACCACGCTGCCTTTGTGGTCCATCCATGGTACATTAGGGCGCCTTAAAACGTGGCTGAGCCGTGCCCATTCAGCTCACAAAGAGAGGGGCCGCTGGCAGATCCTTGGCCTGGCTCACAGAGGAGGCATTCACACCACATCGGGGGGATGGTGACGGTGATGGAGAGGGTCTTCTGAGTTGAGTAAAAATTACTCGGGCCAAGGCCGATGTGACATAGTCTTAATACACATGCCAGCTGATGATGTCATCACTTGGCTTCATCTAAAGTTTGATCAGCCGTGGAAATCCTGGATTTGATAAGGAGACCTATGAATGTGGTTTCCATGCCAGTTCTGTATAACCATAACAAGATTTGGATCTAGCCTTTCAGTGGACTAATTGCTAATTTGCCATGTAGAAACAAATCATCAGCTCGCCTCATATCAGGATATTTTTCCTCCAACTATTGGAATTATCCATCGCTACTTTGGGGAAACTACAAATGCTGTCAGATCTTCATCTCATTTTACCCAGTGAACATCGTGTGTATAGTTTATCTGTATACTACCTGAAGACGGCACACAAGCAGTCACAGAGTCACTCTCGCAGGAGGAGGCACGGAGCACGTTGCAAAATGAAGCTGGACTAATGTTGGTTTGTTTCAGATGTCAAACCAACAGAAACACACTGATGAATGTGCCTGCCTTGTTCCTGTATAGGATTTCTGCACACACCATCTCACAATCTTATGTGCTTCAGATGCCACCAGTGATTTACTTCTACCATTTAGTGATGAAACAATTATTCAGTCAGTCCTTTAGACCTTCCATAAACAGAAAATTAATTGACAACAATTTTGATAATTGATCAATTGTTTAAGTCAGTATAACTGTCTGTGGTTGCACCCTCTCAAATGTGAAGTTGTCAGTTTAATATCATTATAAATTAAATATCTTTGGATTGAAGAGATCACCTCAGGCTCTAAAAATTTGCTCTTGGAATCTTATAAAAAAAAATTCTTGTAGACGAACTAGTTATTAAGAAATAATAGATTAATGGACTCTTTTCACAGCAACCATTTCAACACAGGTGTTTTAGCAATGGCTCAGTTTAATACAGGTCTGACAGAGTCAGGCTGCTGCAATTGTGCATGTAGGCTCACTGGATATAATTGTGAGTTGTAACGCTATGATGTGTAAAGTGTTCTTTTTTTAAAATATTATTTTATTTCACCCGTTATCTAGTTATAATAGCTATCTCGCCCTTTTGTTAATGATCTCCATTTAAGAACTTGTTTGTAGGCTAAACCAAATTATATTTTACCAGTAACTGATTAAAAGTATCTAATGTCAGACTGAACCTTCCAGTCAATGTAAAATGCACCTTATTTGGCTTCACGTGTTGTAAAGAATAAAACATGACTTGATCAGTCAGAAAATGTCCTTAAAGGTCCCTGGATCCTCCTTGCTGGTTAAATTTCTCAATTAGCTGGCTGCTTCAAAACACACTGAGGACACTGGTCTTTCTTTGAGATGTAAAGTAATGAACAGGTGCACAATCTATGGACGAAGAAAGAACTGGGGATGCATTGTTTGACCTGGTCAGTGCTTTAGTGTTTTGTGGGTGTCATTTGAGATGATTGGATGAACCCTGGCATCTTTTATCCCCCCACCACTGAGGTGGAATTCTCAAAAGTTGTAGGGGCTGATGAAGGAAGAGGACACAGTGTCTGAGTCTGTGTGAAGGATTTCATTCATTGCAGAGTGCTTGCAACATATAAATGTCTGCCAGTTATGGATGGCATCTGCTACAAGCTGTGATGGAAGTTTAGTCTCCGTTTCAAACATCAGCAGGTAGCTCAGTTGATCCTCTGGGCCTGAAACACTTGAATCAAGTTTCCACCAAACGCCTCTAAATTGCGTGCACCATGAGCTATTATGTCAAACTCTTCAAAGAAAACTAAATAAGAGGGCTGCTGTAAAACTCCTAGTATGTGAAATGTTTGTTCTTGGCACCTTGACTTTATTTATCATCTAATCAACTGGAAGCTTACTTCGGCGATTGATGCCTCCTTCATTTTATTTTTCTTTCCACGATAGGTGTGAAATTTCATTACTTTCCAACATTGTTTCCTGGTTTTATGAACTGAAATCCCTCTGCTGAAGTAGATGAAGGAAGGAAGGGAGGAGGCTTTTGTCCAGGGGCCGTGGTGGAAACCCGGAGCCCGTAAATCTTGCACTGATCTTTGGATCATTAAACTGTGAGCCCTGAGTCCTTTGGTTCTTTATCACCAGGCCTGGATCCCAGGCCATAATGGAGGCTAACTGGCTAATGATTAGCTGTCTTCTGCAGTTACTCCAGAGCTGGCTGCTGCTGCAGGTGCCTGTCTGAATGGGAGGAGGCTATGAAAACATATAAATCTGGCCTCAAATAGTTTCTCTTTTTATCTGTCCGACTCTTGCAAAGCTTTATGTGAAATGTAATGAAGGTTCATGATGCAATGTTGATGTAGTAACTATTGTTGGTTTGGACATTTTAAGTCCTGACAAGTTGTAAAGCCATTCACGTACTGTATCTAGTCCACAATAGAAGGT